GGGTGATGGTCTCACTGGCTCTTTACTGTATGCTGAGTCTCTTAGGAGACCGTTCGCTGCCTGATAGTCACCTCCTTTCTGAATTCTGGAAAATATTTCTCTGTGGATGAAAATGGGTCAGGATTCTGAACTTTGCCCCCTCCCCCCCACACACACACCCTATTTTAAGAAAAAAGAAAAAGGAAGGAAGGAAGGAAGGGAGGGAGGGAGGGAGGGAGGGAGGAAGAAGTTAAGGAAATTAAGGCTGAAAAATATCACAAAATAAGCACCATGCTAGGTCAGATATTTTCCTCTGTTCATTCTTGCATTGTTTGCTGCTAGTTTTAAAGGGCAGAATTGTTGAGACTCTTCCATGTTTCCTTGGGGGACTTCAGACTTGGAGACGTTGCAGGGACACAAAAGCCAAGAGGATTTTGCTATGGTTATATAGAGAGTAAACTGTTACAAGCTCAGAGCTGTGAAATATCAATTTGGAGAGGATACCTGCCCCCTCCCAGGCCACTCATGAATGAGAATGCATTTTTGCGACATCCCCTCTGGGCACAGTCGACTGCTCAGTTGGTTCTGGGAGCTACTTGTTAGCTGAATCTCTGGGACAGAAGTTGGCCTCATGTGCTCACTGTGAATATGTAGGATTCTGACATCGTGATTCCCCTCATTCTTGTGAGTCAGGATTAACAGAAATCAGATACTCCCCTATTCCTCTATAAAAGGACAGATTAAAGAAAAAAAATGATGATGTCTTTGGAGGTTATGGTCAGGAAAAGGAGCTAGCAATAAAAGCAAGAAGGCAAGAGCTCTGAAGCAAGAACTCTCAAGAGGTATCTTACAGGTTAAATAGATCACAAGGCTGCAGGTCAGATCTTCAGATGTTATCAAGCCACAAGAATGTGAGGTAGAAGTTAGGGAGTAGGCTGAGATTAAAACAGGCATTTCTGATTAATGTTTTCCATTAGTTCTAAGCCACGCTGAAAGCAGTAAAGTGGGGCTGTGACAAGCCCCCTGGCGAATGAGGAAAGTCAACCTTGGAGGGGGCTCAGTAAAGGATATTTAGCAAGCAAATGATAGAGTCTAGACTCACACCCAGGCTTATCTCACTCCAAAGGCTGTTTGCACCATGTGCTTTATAGCACTTTGGACTTCCACTTTGGAGGGGGAATTTGTTTTATTCTTGCATGATACTGAATACTTCCCATTAGTTAGCATCTGTGGATCTCAAGTACTATGAGGTGAAGTACCTCTTACTGTACCCTCAGTTCAAATTTTCTAATTGTTTTAGTAAGACCACAGTAGCACAAATGGAAAGTGGTACTTGCCATTAATGTTTCCTGTTTTAGATTCTCCTGGCCCACTTTATTTCTGATTAGATTGAGGTAGCATGGTGAGTTTTTATTTTGTTTATTTCTTTGCATTGTTGATCTAGAGCCATGGTTTTCAAACTTTATTGGTCTTGGAACCCCTTTACACTCTTAAGTACTAAGGACACTAAAAGACTTTGTTTATGTGCGTTATATCTATTTATATTTACTGTATTAAAAATCAAAACAGACATTTATAAGAGTATGCAAGTAAGCATTCCATTAACTCTTGTACCCTCTGGAAATCTCCACTATACAACTGTGAAAGATTGATATTTAAAAAGTCAAATGATGTTTTAGTAATATGATGAAAGTAATATTGACCTCACAGACTCCCTGACAGGATTGTGGGGAACCTTGACCATATTTTGAGAGCCACTGAAATAGAAAACATACCTGTGTATGTTGATATTGGCAATTCTTTATAATGCAACTATAAGTGCGAGGACTGGGGGCAAAAAATAAAGGAATTAAGGCAAGACCATCAGGTAATAAATGGCTTTAAAAATAGTTACTGACCAGTCTGTGAACTTCTTTCATCTTAGATTTGAGGGGAGTTGGCTTCTATTTCTGAATTTTGAATATATTCATATGTGGGAGTGAATAGTTTTTATCTATAGTAGTTTAATAAACTCTGATGTTTAAAATATGTTTAAACATTTCATACATATGGAAGCTCATTACGGAGATGTTTATTTCATTGTTTCTGCTCACACTTACCATTGTTTTTTGGTCACCCAGCCCTGAATCCACCTCTCCTCTCTTGGCATATCCCACTGCCTCCTACAAGAGGATAAAGTGCTAGATATTTCCATCTTCGGCCATCTTTTCAGCCAGGCTGCAGGCATGGGACCCAGACTCTGCCAGTCAGACACCTGCATCTCATGCTTTGAAGTAGAAACTAGAGACATAGAGAAGTACATGGCAGCTGCACATTATTCCCAGGGCAGCAGCTAGTTGCTGGAGTTGCTGGTGTTGGTAGTAGAAGCTGTAGAATCCCCTGTTCATCAAGTGATAGAGATAGCAGAGGTGTTTTCACCACACCAATGCTGCTGCGTAGTCTGGGGCAGTGTTCTTGGATATGTAGCTTCCAAACCTGATTTCTCTGGCCCTCCTAGAAGTTTGTGTTTCTTCGTTATCCTTCTGTGAATTCAAGAGTCAGACCTTTGCCTGCAACTAAGAATCCTGCTTAATTCATTCTGAAATGCAGTGTCTGTCAAAGTATTGTTTGGAAACCTCATGTGTTGGAATCACTGGGCCATATCTGACAATACCTACTTGTGGGCTTAAAACCGACGGATTCAGAATCCTTAGAGTGGGTCTTAGGAAACTGCATTTTAAACAGATCTCAGGGTTATGTGATTTTAGATGCAGTAAAGTTTAAAAACCCCTATCCTAGTATTTTCAACTTTTTAAAGTCTATGCTCTCTCTTTATGAATCTGAGCAATCATCAAAAGAAATAATTCTACTCTTTTTTATTTATATTTTATTTTATTTTATTTTTGAGCTGGAGTCTTGCTCTGTCACCCAGGCTGGAGTGCAGTGGCGCGATCTCGGCTCACTGCATCCTCTGCCCCATGGATTCAAGCAATTCTCCTGCCTCAGCCTCCCTAGTAGCTGGGATTACAGGTGTGCACTACCACGCCTGGCTAATTTTTGCATTTTCAGTACAGACGGGGTTACACCATGTTGCCCAGGCTGGTCTTGAACTCCTGACCTTAGGTGAACCACCTGCCTCGACCTCCCAAAGTTCTGGGATTACAGGTGTGAATCACTGTGTCTGGCCAATTCTACTCTTTTATAAGGCCCTAATAAATGACTTACTAGTGTTTCCTTGTTCCCCTCCCTCCCCGGCTTCACATTCCCCATAAACCTTTGCTCTGTCTTTTTAACTCTTTTAACGTCTTTTCCTGGTTTACTTCTTCTCACTGAGAAGTTTTAATTCCTCAGTTGGTATTGGCTACATTCAGTGGTGCCAAAATTGTTAACTCAACTTCTAAACCGCACTGTGATGAACCATGTTTTTTCTTTCTTGGGCATTTTTGTAGCCTGCAGGCTTAGAGCTCAATGTTTACCCCAGGGATTACTGGAGACAATGGAGGAGAAAGACTGGAATACAAGAGTAATTTTTCTTGAAGGGTTCCTCCACCATGGATTTAGGCCAGAAAATAGCACTGGAGGTATTGATTGATCTACTTCTGAGATTTCTAGAATCACTGAATATTATAACTGAAAATAATCCATCTTAACCCCTTGTTTCCTAAATGAGGAAGTCAGGAGAAGATCCATGTTCAAAGTCATCTAAGTGATGCATGGGGTATAAAGGATAAAATAAATTTAGAAGTGGAAAGTGGTGATGCAGAGCTTGACCTAAACGAGCATAAAAAGGATGGGAATTACTAACATTTATTGAATTAATATTTGAACTTGGGTACATTCACTTGACCTCTCTGAGCCTCAGTTGTCTCAACTATAAAATAAAGATTCTAATAATAAATAACATTGAAAAAATATTGACTATATATTAGGAGCTATTGATACTCTAAGGACTTTATGTGCTAACTCATTTGATCCTAGCACAACCACATGATGTAGGAACCACTGTTTCACCCATTTTGTAGATGCGCAGGAAGTCTATATAACTGCAGTCACACAGCTAAGCGTATTTGTTTTCTATTGCTGCTTTACAAATTTTTATGAAATTAATGACTTAAATATACATGTATTATGTTGCTGCTTTTTGGGTCAAGAGTCTGGGCACAGCTTATCTAGGTCCCCTGCTTATGGTCTCACAAGGCAGCAATTGACTTGTTGACATGGGCTAGAGTCTCATCAGAGGCTTGGAGTCATGTTCCAAGCTTGTGTGCTCATTGGCAGAATTAATTTCCTTGCAGCTTTGGAACTTGTGGTGGCTGAGTCTTTAAGGCCAGCAGGAGAGAATCTGCTTCTTTTAGAGGTCTTACCTGATTAGATCTAGACCACTCAGGATAATTTTTCTTTTAATTAACTTAACATTATTAGGGGGAATTCATATATCTACAATATCTCTTCATCTTTGCCGTATGATTCAACATAATCATAGGAATAATATTACATGACCTTTGCTATCTTCTATTAGTTAGAAGCCAATTACGGGTCTTAACCACACTCAAGCAGAGAGGATTACACAAACCGACAGATATCAAGAGGCAGGAATCACAGAGCTATCTTAGAATTTTGCCTGTCATAGTTCTAAGGTTGAGTTTAAATCCAGACCGGCTCTAGGTTTAACAGTCCATGCTCATAATCAATATGATCTTCTTTATTCCTTTGAAGAAAGCGAACCTACTTTATAACCTTGCATAGAGTTCTAAGTAAGGTATCCCCCAGAAGATTCATACTGGGTGCCAGTCAAATGTTAATTATTTTCACACCTTCACTTTCAAAGGTCAGCTTCGAGAAACCATAACCACTTGCAGTTTTATATTTTCAGGAAGAGATTTCCAACAGTCTCTCTGAACACTCTGAACTTATAACTTAAGGTTATGTAAGTTATTTCCATTTGTTCCTGTTTGTCTGAGGCAGAGATAACCCTGGGATTTGGGATTTCAAACTTGAGTCTCAAAAAATAACTTTAGTTCTGCTTCTTGTTTTTGAAACAGATGAAGTGATTGAGAAGAAACAGTGAACATCCTCATTTCACAGATAAGACAGCATGGATCAGCCTTTTACTGTGAATTCTCTGGTAGGTCGCACCAGCTGATATCTAACATTTGGTTGGAAAGCCCAAAAAGAAGAACAGAAACATACAAATGTGAAATGAGTCACAATTACTTTAAGAAGTTTAGCACTTGTAGTTTTTCATCCATCTGTGTGGTTGTCTCCTTTGAGGAAGTGACTAATAAAGCTATCTTTGTAAGACTTAAAAATAAATTTTATTTTCCACAAAAGTCTAAAATTTTAGTTTATCTAGCTAGATGCCAGGAGTGTAGTCCTTTGGCAAAACACCAGAGAGAAGAATTTCAGAGTTGATATCTGAGGAGCTACTTAAAGCTCTTTATGTCTCAGCTTCTTTATATAGATAAAAATTGGAGGCTCACCTTGTGTGGTGTTAGCTGAGAAAAACATACATAACACCTAGGTATTGCTTTGGATCCTTGTGTAAATGTCTTTGTACTTGAAGCTCTTGTTCTTCTCACTTTTCCCCTCACTGCCCAGCACTGTGCACACTTTCTCTAGCTACATCACATGGGCTTATTCTGTGTCCTAGATCAATCTCTGACTGTGAATATAGACACATTATGTAATCTCCATGGCCCTAATTTTGTACTTTTTGCCCAATGACAATTGGAAACAATATTTTTTGATGCTTCTAGCCTACCAGGATGGTACGATAAATGGAAACTGTCATTCCCATTTTCCTCCTCCCGAAGACCCTTCCCAACCACTCACAGCAACCTTGTACCAGTGGCCCCATGGGCTGCAGTATACTAAATACCCTGTACGCACAGAGACTAGCACCAGGACATAAAGAAAGAGAGGGCCTGGTTCTTGTACTGAAATAGGTTGTGACCTAATGTTTTTTCTTGACCAAGAAAGTCCTTCACAGAGCTTAGTTGTCTTCAGAGTATGTTTGGAAAGTAGACAGTTGCAGAAATGTTTTCATTTTCTGTCCCCATGTTGTTGTTCCACTATGGTTAATAAAGACTGACCCATTTCCACTTCTTCAGAGGAAGGAGTCATCCTTATGAGATGTCTTCTGTGTTTTTCTAGAACACTATATAACAATAATTTAACATTTTTATTGTATATGTCACCGTAAAAATGAACACAAAGGCTTTGTATCTGGAAAATTTGTGTTTTCATCCAAGAAACGTGCATGCAAATGAAATATTATAGATTGGCCGGGTGCAGTGGCTCACTCCTGTAATCCCAGCACTTTGGGAGGCCGCGGCGGGCAGATCACAAGGTCAGGAGATTGAAACCATCCTGGCTAACACCGTGAAACCCTGTCTCTACTAAAAATACAAAAAATTAGCCGGGTGCAGTGGCGGGCGCCTGTAGTCCCAGCTTCTTGGGAGGCTGAGGCAGGAGAATGACGTGAACCCGGGAGGTGGAGGTTGCAGGAGCCAAGATCGTGCCACTGCACTTCCAGCCTGGGCGACAGAGTGAGACTCTGTCTCAAAAAAAAAAAAAAAAAAAAAAAAACTATAGATTGATGAGGACTTTAGGTTATTTTCTAGCTTATCTTTGAAATCAATTTTAAATTTGGGAAGGATAGGACCACTTAGAAGAGGAAAAATCAATCTAATTTTCATTTTTAGGGAAAAAACTAATTATAATCTCTTGTTGCTTCCTTCTCTCACTTCTTTCTCTCTTTTATTTGATATACTTATTATCACATATGTGGCAGGGAAGATGCTACAGGGAACAGAGATAAATGGAAAGTGATCGCTTTTAAAACCCCAAGGAGTTCATAAGGGATCGGACACATTTGTACAGAAATAATTGTAACTCAGTGTGGACTATATAGTAGTAAAATATGAACACATTACTTTTATACATATGAGAGGCTGGAACCCCCTTTAGAAGACATTCTGGTTTTCATAGATTTTTTTTTCTAGTCATTTTCTGATATCATTGAAGCAATTATCTGTGGTCAAATGTCAATATTTTCTTTTGGTGCTGTTGAGTTCTATAGGTGAGTGTGGTTAGGGAAAAGTGGATGGATTGCTGTAGGATTTGAGACATCTCAACTGGAAAAGACCATATACTGAACCCTGAGGCTCAAACTTCAGAACTCCAATTTCTGTCTTTGATGTGGTGAAGCCATATAATAAAACGTACAAGGGACATGGTATGGTTCTTACTTAATGAAGCCTTGAGAAACAAGTTTATGGGTCTCTGGTTAATGTTAAACCTTTAGGACCAAGAATCATTTCAGATCTCTAGGGTTCTATTGGCTATACATTTACCACCAAAGTAGGCCAGATGGCATTGGAAGAACTCCAGATATCTAATTTACTATGCCCTGCCCCTGAAGGTTGGCTCAGTAATTCATGGCCAGACTAAAAGTATGCTTACCTGACTTCTTTCATGGCTTTCTACAGACCTGAATTAAGTGCTTCACCCACACAGTAGTCAGATTTGCAACCTACCCTTAACTGACCAAGGAGGCCTTAAGAAGCTAAATTTGCTCTAGGCTCACTCTGTTCTGGGAGCATCCAGCAATGGTAGAAGTGGTTGGTCTAAAGCCTTGCTTCTCAAACTGTGCATGCATAAGTACCTCTGGAAAGACGGATTAAAACATTGGTTCTCCAGCCTACCTCCAGAGATCCTGAGATCCTGACTATAGGTCTGAGGTGAGACCTGTTAGGAATTTGCATTTGTAAGAAACTCCCAGTTGATGCTGATGCTGCTAGTACATGGACCATGCTTTGAAATATGCTGATCTAAAGCAGGGGTCAGCAAACTATGGTCTAAGGGCCAAACCACCTGCTTGTTTTTATAAATAAAAATTGCGGGGACACAGCCAGGGTCATTTTTTTCCATATTGTTTATGGTGACTTTCATGCTGAGAGCTGAATTCAAGTTGCAGTGGAAACCATATGGCTAGCAGAGCCTAAGATACTTGCTATCTGGCACTTAACAGAGAAAATTTCCTTTCTGAAGCACTGACTTTTTATTGAATAATCATTCTGAATTGTGTATGTTCTGTGCTTTACCAAAAGTGTATAGATGCTGTTTTTATTAATAAAATCCAAATTACTATCACTGACATTTCTTAGTAACATATCATTATTTTCTTGGTTAAGGACTAATTTAACAGTGTAATTACTATTATACGGAGGTCTGAGATTCTTTTTATGTTTTAAAAAAATGGGAGGGGCATCCTTATGCTTGAAAAGGCTTCTCCAGGACTTTACTTGTGTTTTTTGGTTTTGGTTTTGGTTTTTTTTTTTTTTTAACTCAGCGAAGATGCAGAGAGGTCCTGAAAACTTCTTACTAAACAACACTTATTCTGGAATAGAACTGAATCTTTACAGTAACTTGAATCCAAGTTACCTCCTTGGAGACCCTTCAGAGTAGACTGACATGAACCCTACAATGGCAAGAATTCATCTTATGACCTGCTTCACATGATCCCAGATAGAAGCATGCACAGGGATATGAGGGGCAATGATATTTTACCTAACATGACCTGAAACATTTGCATACCCTGGAACTTCCAGTTAATTGTACCCTGAAACCTAAAGTGAGATCCCACTCCAGTAAAACTGTAAGTTTACCCTGGAGGTTTGTCTTTTTGTTGTATAAACCATGTGTTTACGCAAAAATGCTTTACTTTGATCATATCATTAACTTATGAAAAGATTTCCTTAGATGATGGTGTTAGGTTCCTCATAAAGAAAATACATCCGTAATATTAGTCATATCCTTTTCTTACTATAATCAGCAATTAATCAGAGATTTAAATTTTGCTTTGCAGAAAAAGTTAGCTGCTATGCCTGACCATACAGATGTTTCCCTAAGCCCAGAAGAGCGAGTCCGTGCCCTAAGCAAACTTGGTTGTAATATCACCATCAGTGAAGACATTACTCCACGACGTTACTTTAGGTCTGGAGTAGAGATGGAGAGGATGGCGTCTGTGTATTTGGAAGAAGGAAATTTGGAAAATGCCTTTGTTCTTTATAATAAATTTATAACGTAAGTTTTTTAAAGGCCTCTGAAGTGAGAAAATTGGAAAAATATTTACATAGTTATTTTGATGTGGCACTTTGGGTATCAGTAATGTTTTCATATTCAGACCAATTGCACAGTCTCTAGGAGCTTTAACGGTTCAGGTTTTTAAATTACCAACTAATGTACTCACAGGCATCCCAACACCATCTCTGATACTTAGGGTCAGGGAAGGCAGGAGGCTCCAAGGCCAGCACAATAATCTGTTTAATACATGCTTCATAAATGTAATTTATTTCTTCATAAATGTAATTTATTTTTTCATGTGATTTTTCCCCAACAGAAACTGAAGCTTTATGAGAGCAGGAACTACAGTGCAGCTCCACTTAAGCACCTAGAACTTGTCATCAACATTAAAAAAATTTGATTTGGTGGTTTGAGTCTGGGGGACAAGTTGGGAGACACAGGAAAGATCTGATTCAGGTTCAGGGATACGTTCAGGAAACTCATTCAAGTTTCATATAGCATTTATTATTTCTTTTTTAAAAATATTTTATTTGGCTATGAAGAGCACTGTGTACAAAAGAGCTGTCAAAATGTTGAGTAAAAGTGGCTACATCAAAACAGCCATATCAAAACTATCAAATTTCCTATTAGACAGATATTTGTTAGTGCTATATCCTAGTTGAAGAGTTAACAGAAGTGGGACTTGGACTTGCCTTACCATAAATCTGGTAACTTACTAGTTGAAAGGATGTCCTGTTATCAATAATTATATCTTCTAAGCTGAACCTTCTATTTTTTTATTTTAATTGAAAGTCACATGTCAATTACTTTTGCTAGCTTATTATTAATTTGATTTAAATTGACAAAAATTATATATATATATTGTGGGTGTGCAACATGTTTTGATACATACATGCTTATATTGTAGAATGACCAAGTCAAGCCAATTAACATATTTATTACCCCACAGACCTTTTATTGAGACAAGGCCTCCCTGTTGCACAGGCTGAGTGCAGCGGCACAATCATAGCTCACTGCAGCCTCGACCTCCCAGGCTCAAGTGATCCTCCCACCTCAGCCTCCCAAGTAGCTAGGAGTACAGGCATGTGTCACCATGCTCATCTAATCTTTTATTTTTGTAGAGACGGGATCTTACTATGTTGCCCAGGCTGATCTCCAGCTCCTGGATACAAGTGATCCTCCTGCTTTGGCCTCCCGAAGTGCTGGGATTATAGGCATGAGCTACTGTGCCAGACCCAAGCTGCATAATTATGCAATACATTGTTATTAACTATAATCATCATATACACTGAACCTCCTGAACTTACTCCTCCTGTCTAACTGAAATTTTGTATCCTTTGACCAACATCTCACCCCTTATCCTCACCCACTGGAACTCTAATAGCTACCTTACTACTCTCTGCCCTGCTATAAATTCAACTATTTTAGATTCCTTCTACATTATAAGTGAGATCATGCAGTGTTTGTGTTTCTGTGCCTGGCTTATTTCACATATAATTTCACTAGCTTAGTCAGGGGCTTAGCCTGAGAACATTTAAGTTGAAAGATACAATATTTTAAAAATTGCCTTCCATGGCTCAGCGCGGTGGCTCAAGCCTGTAATCCTAGCACTTTGGGAGGCCGAGATGGGCAGATCACAAGGTCAGGAGATCGAAACCATCCTGGCTAACACGGTGAAACCCCGTCTATACTAAAAAATAGGAATAATTAGCTGGGTGAGGTGGCGAGTGCCTGTGGTCCCAGCTACTCGGGAGGCTGAGGCAGGAGAATGGCGTGAACCCGGGAGGCGGAGCTTGCAGTGAGCCGAGATCGCGACACTGCACTCCAGCCTGGGTGACAGAGCGAGACTCCGTCTCAAAAAAAAAAAAAAAAAAAAAAAAAAAAAATTGCCTTCCATGATTCTACCAAGGGCAAAATTAAAGGTGGTTTACATGGTATACAAATTGAGATCTGCATTTTATCCAAGTTACTGAACTTGAAAATTTAGAGAATGGTTGGCAGTATTTACCCTACCTGGGAAAACCACTTGTTTTTAGAAAGTTAAGTAATAAATATGAAATTAGAAGTTATTCTCCACCATTGATAGCCAAGCTTTTCCAATAAATTTTGTTTCTGAATAAGTTACCAATTAATAATATTTCTTTTTCACCTTCTGCTCTGATCTTGTGTATGCTCCTATGTAATTGTGAGCCTGGTGAAAGGGAAAAGGCCCCTATATCTCAGAATTATTGTGTAATCAAAATATTTGAATTCTCTTGTGTGATAATTTGTAATTCACTCATTCTTCCTGGGCCTTAGTTCATCATCTACGAATGAAAGATTTATGGGAGAAAATCTCTGAGGTCCCCTCTGCTCTAAATGTCTTTGAATTTATTCTATTTATAAAGGCTTAGATAGCTAACAACTTTTAAAGCTTCTTTAAGCCTTAATTTTCTCATTAGATGGGAATTACTCTAACATTTCTGTCTAACCTATAGCTTGTCGTCAGAGGAAATTAAATGATGAGTATATGTGTGTATTATTTGGTTTACAGAATCAGTAAGTATAAGGCATATTATTTGATCAGAAACAGCATTTACAGCTCATTATGATTTTTCAAGGAAGGGTTATTCATTCATTTTGCAAATATTTATTGAGCCCTTATTATGAGCTGGATTCTATTCTTCAGGCTGAGGATACATCAGTGCATAAAAAAGAATTCCCTGCCCTTGTGGTAGCAGTTTCTTCACTTTACCTGGAAGCGATGCACCTGGTTTCCTGTAGGAATTTCCTTTCACTGCTGCTGTCTCTTGTTCCTCAAATGGTGACAAAAAATAATGAATTCCTAATTAGCACCTCCTAATTCACTAGGGATTCTGGTTGTCACTTTTCTTAGTTACAAGTTTTCAGTTAAGAGTTTTTTGATACACACACGATGGCGCTGCTGGTTCATCAGCGGTCATTTGAGTTTTTTTCAAGAGTGAGAAGGAATTTACATCACTCTTTCCATGCTCTGATATTTTTATGTGATTCTCTGTGTTGCCAGCAGTACACAAAAGTAAGATGGTGCTCTTTTGGGGTTAAGCATGCAGTACCTGAGAAAGATCAAACAACTTGATCTGTTTAGAGAGTACCCTGACCTTAACCTTGTTAGCTCTGGTGCTTAGTTTGTTGAGCTTAACTGTTAATACCAAAATAATACTCATGCCAGACTTTAGTGAAAAGGCAGATGGAAAGACTGTAGGTAAATAAGTTATTAAACATGTCATCTTTGAAAAAGGATGCTCATTCCCTTATTAGAAACCATGATTGAGCTTTTGCTGTTATATAATGCTAAGAACATGTTTTCTCTTTCTTAGCTTGTTTGTAGAAAAGCTTCCTAACCATCGAGATTACCAGCAATGTGCAGTACCTGAAAAGCAGGATATTATGAAGGTATTGTGGGTTTGCTTATCCACTGTGGAATCAAATGCTCTATAAGTATCCATTATCAATTCATCCTTCCCCTTCCTCCGCTTTCTCTTTCTCTTGAGAGTTTGAGCACGAGAAATTCATTCCATTAACCACGATGTTTCGATTTTTTTCTTAGACGTTTAATGATCATCTTTGAGCCAGTGTGGTTTGTCTAATTGATGCTGGGGGAAAAGAAAGAGAGAAAAACGTTACCTAATGGTGTGAAGAAGGAATTATTTTACAATAATCTCTCCCAGAGATTAAGAGAATGTTGTGTATTTCTCTGAACTTTTTTCAGACAGTCATTTTGGCTGCTTTTGATTATTTTATACAGCCCTGAACTCAATAACTGGTTGAAAATTAGTGTTAGCTATTAAGGCAACCACAAAGTTCTAGCTATTTACATCTTATAGAACTGTAACTATAGATTATAAAGTGTTGTGGGGGAACCAGGAGGTGGAAGGCTAAAATACTATCAAGGAAAAAGAGTGTTGCAATTTATCATCAATTTTTAAATGATTTGTTTATCACCAATAATTGCTATATCTATAATTTTGGTTATGTCTAGCTGTGAATATATTCTTTTAAATAAACATTTGCAATGTTTCCCATTTATTTGTCTTTAATAACTTGTGTTGGTCTTATATGAAGGAAGATAAAATCATGTACACAAAACCAATTGTAGAATGAAATTTTAAATAATTTTTGTAAAACACTTTACCAAATAATGAAATAAAGGCTTTCCTATGAGTCTTTTCAGACCTGAGAATGCATAAGCAAAATGCAGATTTTGTCAATTGGTCATCTACATTATTTATTTATTTGTTTGTTTGTTTTGAGTCAGAGTCTTGCTCTGTCACCTAGGCTGGAATGAAGTGACACAATCTCGGCTCACTGCAACGTCCGCCTCCTGGGTTCAAGCAATTCTCCTGCCTCAGCCTACTGAGTAGTTGGGATTACAGGCACCTGCCACCATGCCCAGCTAATTTTTTTTTTTTTTGAAACAGAGTCTCGCTCTGTCACCCAGGCTGGAGTGCAGTGGCGTGATCTCGGCTCACTGCAAGCTCCACCTCCCAGGTTCATGCCATTCTCCTGCCTCAGCCTCCCCAGCAGCTGGGACTACAGGTGCACGCCACCATGCCTGGCTAATTTTTTTGTATTTTTAGTGGAGATAGGGTTTCACCATGTTAGCCAGGATAGTCTCGAACTTCTGACCTAGTGATCCGCCCGCCTCGGCCTCCCAAAGTGCTGGGATTACAGGCGTGAGCCACTGCGCCCAGCCTGATTTTTGTATTTTTAATAGAGATGGAGTTTCACCATGTTGGCTAGGCTGGTCTCGGAACTCCTCACCTCAGGTGATCTGCCTGCCTCTGCCTCCTGAAGTGTTAGGATTACAGGCATGAGCCACCGCGCCCAGTCAACTTTTTTAATGTCTACAGTCACTTACCTGAAGTATCATTTATTATCATGTCTCTGTGTAACACTTCCCCTGAATTCTCTTGTTCATTCAGCCTCAGAGAGTTCTGTTTGGAAACCAAAGGTGCCAGGCTGTCAAGGTGACTCATGTACTATAATTTAGGGTTATGCTGATTTTTTTTTTTTGTAGGAGAAAAATTCTCCAAAACCATATACATTTACCTTGTTTATGCTTATTGAGTAGATATATGAATAACATAAATGAATGACAAAGGGTTAAGAGAATCGAAATTTAGTGAAAGAGCTAGAGAGTCAGGAGACTTGAGTTCCAGTCCTAAATGGGCCGCTAGCTGGTTGCATGATACTGAACAGGACTTTCAATCTCTCCAGGCCTTTGCTCCCTCACTTCTAAAAAGGAAGAGGTAGTTGGGCTTTATACGAATTCCCAGATATTCCTGCCATTAAGAATCTCTGAGGAAGCTGTTTGAGATCCAGATTCCCAGACCGCTTCTCTAGGTGTTAATTCAGTAGATCTAGATTAGGCTTGGGAATCTGTATTTTTATAAAAAGTGCCCCAGCTGTTCTTTTTACAGTCTAGCATGTCTAGAAATCCCTGGCCACCATATATTCTCTCACATCCCTTCTAATTCTGATGGTACATGATTTATGTACTGTAGAATGAATGATTGATCTCAAACTCACTGTCTAAAAATGGGGTACCACAAAGGTAGCCACGAAGTTCTAGCTATTTACTTTTTATAGCATTGGGCTATAATAAAATGCTTATCTAATCAGTGGGGCCAATAAAGTTCTTACAAAAGGGGTAATAGTGTTTCTTTTCTGCTGGAAAGTTATATTTTGGACCTATAAAAAAGATTTATTTTTCTGCCATCGTCTTTGGTTACTCATGACTTTATTTGCAACACACCTACCAGCTGTTTTTCTTTCTCACCTGATGATCTGAAAGAGTGTATTGAAAATCCCACTAATCAATATGTATATGTATTTTTAAAAGAAACTGAAGGAGATTGCATTCCCAAGGACAGATGAATTGAAAAACGACCTTTTAAAGAAATATAACGTAGAATATCAAGAATATTTGCAAAGCAAAGTAAGTTCATTTGGTACATTTATTTCATGACTATTTTATGTACAAGTGTTTTTTGAATTTCATTTTTATGTGATGAGTTTTTGAAATGTTCTGTGCATTTATATTAAAAATTAAACATGCAGTGGTGTGAAACCAATACAAAATTTATGCTGATATCCAGGTTAAGCAGTTGCACCAACAATGTGGTATTTCTATTTCCCTACAACATCTAACAAAGCAATGTGTTAGAAAAGAGATTTCCTACAGTGATTTAAGTAGAACTTTTTGATCGACTCTTGCCAATGTAACCTTGAGCCAGATGGCTGCTCTTTTGCCAGATGAACAGCCAGTAGGAGGTAGGGAAAGCAGTATATGGTTTTTGATGTGCCTAATGATATAGGCCTTAGAAATGTGAATTTGATTCTTAGAATGTTACAGTCAGGATTGCACTGAGATGGAATAACAGCTAACCATGTGGTTGAAATGTAATTGTATCACCCAAAAGTGGTGGCTTCTGGGTTGTTATTAATAAACAGTGAACATTATGATAATGTCTGAGAGGCAGAAAGGCACTGGAAGAAGAAATTGGCCAGTCGGTGTATCGGATACTCACATTCAACATAGCATTATTATAAAGCTATTTTGCTTTTTTGTTAGTGTTTTATTTGCTTTGGAAGTTGCCACCTTCACTGACTCCCACTTCAGTTCAATCTCATCAGCTCTGAGAATGCTCATTGAGCTTTTTGACTTTCTATGGGCAAAGGTGGAAGGCTAGTTTGAGTGGTAAGTTTTAATGAAGTGGTAGAGGGAATGTTGAAATTGGAAATGTCCCTGAAGTGTGTATATTAATAATGTGACTTGAAATATGAAAGATAGAAATGATCTCGGAGGGTAAGACAAAGCAACAGCAAGGCAGACGAAAGCCCAGTTCAAGTCTCCCTTCCACATTCGGCAATGTGTATGATCTTCCTCTTCATGATCTTCCTGGGAGGAACAGGCTCTGCAGCTGTTGCATGTTCTGCCTTTGATACCAGTCACTTCACAGCCTACGGTAGTGTCCCATGTAGAAATCTCTGTGGGGTTAGAATAGCAGGATTGAGCCTAGGAGAGATGAACAGCGATGCCTGTGAGCCCTCGCTTCAGCCAGCATTAGCATCATTTGGAAGATTGTTAGACATGCAGAATCTCAGGCCCCATCCCAGACCTTCTGAATCAGGATTTGCAACTGCAATTAGCCCCAAGGTGATTTGTATGCACCTGAATGTGCAGCTATCAGCTGTGTCCCCTATGCTACTGCCATCTTACGGTAGCTCCCAAATCTAGCTTCTATCAAAATCACTTGAAACACTCATTAATACTTCATATTATCTGACCTAATAAGCCTGAATATTTTGTTAGGACTGGAGAGCTTGGGACAACTCATTTTTAGCAAAACTCTTGGTTAGTGGTGACAGAGAAGGTTGGAACACATTTTAATAACCATTTTTTTTTTAGTGATTCCTTCTTATCCATAAATTTCCAGCAGAGTGTGAGTTCTAGAGTGAAATGCAAAAGGTTCTAGGGCAGCACTGTTCAATAGAACTGCCTGTGATGATGGAAATGTTCTGTTTGACACTTTCCAATATGGTACCCACTAGCCACATGTGGCTACTGGGTACTTAAATGTGACTAGTGTGCCTGAGGTGCTGAATTTCTAATTTTGTTTAATTTTAATCAAGTTCAAATAACCCCATGTGGCTAGTGGTCACTATATTGAAAGTGCAGTAGGGGTGAGGTATTTTGTTTCATATGGTCTTGTCAGTCAGACTGAGCAAACAACCTTAACGTTGATTTTCTAGTATTTAAAAGCATAAGGGAATGGAGGGATCCTGATTGTCACGGCCTGTCTCTGGTAAAATATCAGTGGATTTAGAACTGCTATCTTAATCAGATCAAGGGGCTTTTGCCCTGATGTTATGTATTTCTCTCACTGTTCCCTGAGTGTCCCCGTGGGTATATCACAGTATCTAGCCTTTTCTCTGTCTGCTTGAACAATGAAAATGTCTAATTCCAGTTCAATGTTTTTCCTTGGAAACTAACCTTGTCTTCTGGCTGCTACACTTTTTAGAACAAATATAAAGCTGAAATTCTCAAAAAACTGGAGCATCAGAGATTGATAGAGGCAGAAAGGAAGCGGATTGCTCAGATGCGCCAGCAGCAGCTAGAATCAGAGCAGTTTCTGTTTTTTGAAGATCAACTCAAGAAGCAAGAGTTAGCCCGAGGTCAGATGCGAAGTCAGCAAACCTCGGGGCTGTCGGAGCAGATTGATGGGAGCGCTTTGTCCTGCTTTTCCACACACCAGAACAATTCCTTGCTGAATGTATTTGCAGATCAACCTAATAAAAGTGATGCAACCAATTATGCTAGCCACTCTCCTCCTGTTAACAGGGCCTTAACGCCAGCTGCTACTCTAAGTGCTGTTCAGAGTAAGTGATGAAATGCACCCCCGTGAGACACTGAGGCTCATCGGATGGAACCATATTTCTATAGCGTCTGGGAGGGTCCTCCTCATTTCATTACTAATTGTAGTAGGAGCCCTGCATAATATGACAGAACTAACCTTTCAATACTCTCTGGCTTTTACTATATATAACCTTAAAATTCAGGAAATATGATGCCCCCCGATAGAGCAGAGACTCTGTCATAAATGGGAAGTATTTTGTCATTGAACAGAGATTTTAAATGAGAAGAATTTCAAGTCCTTTTGTCTTCTATGTATTTTAACTAAGAAATACATACATCTTAAATACATCAATCTTTCTGAAGAGAAAAGGTGTTGAGAAAATTGTTTATCCAGATCTTTGCTCAGCAATAAATGTTTATGCTCAGTATGTTTAGCATCATCCTTGGACTGAGAGAATCTCATACACATAGATAATTAACCTCCAAATGGCCTGTGTGTTTCTGCAAGAATTAGTGCTGCTCCATACTGCCAGATCGGTGCTGGCAGGTTTCCAAAATACAGAATTCTTCACAGACACTGTCAGATGGAATTTGAGTTCCCATTTATTTGAAATGAGTGATAATAGGCAACCATTTTTAAAGTTACTTTACTGCTAATTGTTTACCAAAACGTTGTGCTTTGACTTGCTGATCACCAACTTTCATAAAGATATAAGTAACATGGTAAACACAATATTTATCATATGTCTTATGGGGTATGAGATGCATTCTACACAGCCTATGCATTTAACCCTATATTTGCTTCATGCCAAAAGATAAAATAACATGTAAGTAGTTGACCCAAGGTACAAACATGTAAAAGTGCTGGTACCTCCTCACTTTGCTTATGAAATAATTTATATACATAATTTAATTTTACTTCTAGTTAATGTTTACTTCTAAGAGTTTTAAAATAAAATATGGAAAGTGGAACACCTGATACTTTTATTTTTGAAATTTATGTCCAACTGCAACTGCTTGCCAATAGCAATTTTGAAAGATGGGACATACAGTTTGTTTTTTAGCCTTTTCTCCTTTTTTCGTTTCTTAGATTTAGTGGTTGAAGGACTGCGATGTGTAGTTTTGCCAAAAGATCTTTGCCACAAATTTCTGCAGCTGGCAGAATCTAATACAGTGAGAGGAATAGAAACCTGTGGAATACTCTGTGGAAAACTGGTATGATCTTTATATTTATATATATGTATCTGCATAGGATACTTTTAATAGTACTAGATTTCTTCTGATAAGTGGAACAGAATAAAAGCATGCTAAGAGTTACCAGTATTATGAAATTAACATTACACAAATTAACTTTATAAAACTACTGTCATTATTAATGGAATGATCCTTCTAGAAAATAGATTGTAAAATTTCAGAGACTCTATAAAAACTTGTCCTAAAGATCAACCTATTAATTAAATCTTTAATTAGAAAAATGGTATGAAATATAGGTCTTCAGGTTTCCAAATCTATCTGGTTGCCAAATCAAATTTTCATTGCAATTGTTAGCTTCACATACATTCGTATAATTAACTTCATCTGTGGCATGTATTATCTTGCTGTCCTTTTTGAGATACACATGGAATAAAACTAGGATTTTGTTGTTTAGTTTAAGGCAGTAGTTTCAACAAAAGCCTATAGGCATAGGACATATTTAATTATGGAAGATGTCATCATAAGTATATGATGAAAGACAAGGTCATAATAGAAGGAGATGAAAGAAAGGAGATGCATTCAATTTCCTATCTACAACAAAGATAAATAATGTTTCTTTGGGCGTGTACTTTCATAGTCTGTTTTGAGTGCCAGTTTATATATCTGGGTCCAGGTATATTTTCAGTCCTCAAAATTTAGCTTAGGAACCTCTGCTTTAATGAATAATACTACATTGTTATTCCGTACACAATCTCCTGCTGCATTCCAGTATTCTGTCATCACTTTCCCTCCAAGAGAGAGGAAGCCATTGGTGGCAAGCACAGGAGAATGGGCATCTACAGTCACCTCTGTTGCACTTAAGGAGACAGTGTGCTATTGAAGCATCCACCCCCACATCATGTGTTGTATTCAGATTGATTTATTGATTCATTTGTGATTCATTCACTCCGTTGTCAGACAAACATTTACCGAATATCTAAATGTGCCAGGCAATGTGCTGGGTATTAGCAGTTGGTGTCCTGCAACAGCTTGCCTCATGATACTTATGATGCTGTGAAGACCCAGATGACTAATGACAAGTGGGGCTGAGTGCTGTCTGTGCAAGTGCAGGGAATCATGGGAGTGTGTGACTGGTAAATCTAACCTTGTCTGAAGGGTGGAGAAGGGTTTCCCTGAGAAGTGATGTTTGAGCTAGGCCTGAAGAATACATAAAGGAAGAGGTTGGATGGAGGGAAGAGTTGAAATCAGGGCAAAGGAGCAGTGCATAGTGTGCAGGAAAGCCCTAAGGCTAGAGAGAGGATGGTCCTCTGGACGGAGAAAGGCCAGCCTGCCTGAGGGAAGACAGCCTCTCACTGCAGGAACATCTCTTCCTTCAGCATCCCATGGCACTTCACAACCCTCTTCCTCTCAACTCTTATCTTTTGCCTAAGGGGAGTAATTTGTTTTTTCCTTTCTCTTTATCTGATTGCAAATCCAAAACATTATCTGAATTACAGAAGATCCTAGTGAGTCCTCGCAACATTCGAAGAATGTCTTAAATCTTGAAGTGACATTAAATATAATTAGTAATATAAAAACAAAACCATCAACCTTCACAACCCTAAGAAATGCCTTTTGGTAACACCACAAAATTATTTAACTAGTATCTCCCCCTCCAAACAAATCTGTCCTTGTTTTGTTCAGTTTTTCCATTACAGATATATCAAGACATCATTTATTAACTAAACTTCCACAGAAGCCTGGCATGCAAATTCCTATTTATGTTATGTTTTCTATTGTGAAAGTGGGTTTCAAGCTACAAACAACTGAGTCTCAAACTTTTGGAAAAGAATCCATTTTTACTGTTGGGACTTTGTTTTTGAATTGGGAACGGTTGTGTGTCCAGGTACAGGGAGGGATAAGGTAAGTGGTGCCTGTACCTGGACACACACCCCTACTGGGGGACTCTTTAGTCTTAAACATTGCACTTCCTGTTCCATTGTTTTTTTTGTTTGTGTGTGTGTGTGTGTGTGTCAGATGCATGTCATTCTTTCTGCTACTTGTTTTTTAGACACATAATGAATTTACTATTACTCATGTAATTGTGCCAAAGCAGTCTGCGGGACCAGACTATTGTGACGTGGAGAATGTAGAGGAATTATTCAATGTGCAGGATCAACATGATCTCCTCACTCTAGGATGGATCCATGTACGTTTGACCTTTTGGGTTTCAGTTTATTTTTGTGTGGCGTACTATTTTCCTCCTTGAAAAAGTTTAGCTTCATTTAAATAGCTTCTTCTTTTAAAATTTTTCAAATGTAACAAAGGTCATCATTTAAGTAGTGGTTCTCAAGCAAAGAGAAAAGAATAACAGATATTTAAAAAAATAAAGTTCATCATATTATGGCATGTTTTTCAGTGTTAGACTGTGTCTAAATCTGTCAAATCTGGATTTGGAGAACGTGTATCTTTTGCTTTTTCGTATCATCTAAAGTTAAAAGAGGTAGGAAGAAAGAGAGTAACATTTGGAAATCAGGTGATTTGTTTTAGATAATTTTACATAGCCTAGTGAAGGCTTAGCCAAATTGTTAACTAATTTGGCTACACAACTATTAATGTGGGTCTAAATTAGATTATTTTAAGAAAATATCTGAAAATGTTTCTTTTAAACGTGTTTGTATATATCAGCTACACTCCCTGACACCCCTCAGATAGGCAAACGATGTATGCATCACTGTATAAACAGCCACAGAGTAAGGCAAGAGGATAGGGCGCAAAACATTGAATTCCAACATCCACCAGGCCATCATAGGAGCAAGTCAAATAGACATGAGGTTAAATCTTGGCTGTGCTAAGAATTTACTGTAGGAGTATTGGCAAGTTATTAAGCAATCTGAGCATCAGTTTTATCATCCATAAAATGGAGATCATAATACTTGACTTCACAGGATGGTTCATATTAAATGAGATACTATTGGTGAATTTCATGGCACAATTTTTGAGGGACTCAGAAAATTGTACCTGTTATAATTGGTGATAATAATCTATCCTTTCTAGCCATAGTGCAATCTAGCTGAGGGAAATTTTTTCCATTTAGTCTCACATAAGCTGGATCTAGGATAACGTCTTGGTGTGTTTTTGCTGCTATAACAAAATGCCTGATATAGGGTAATTTAAAAAGAACAGAAATTTGTTTTATCTGGTCCTAGAGGCTGGGAAGTCCAAGATCAAGGCATCAGCATTGGTGTCTAGTGAGGGCTGCTCTCAGCTTCCACAAGCAGCCTTCACTAGACACCAATGGCACCTTGTTGCTGTGTCCTCACAGGGTGGAAGGTGGAAGGCAGAAGGGCAAGAGAGCACTCCCTTCAACCTTAAGCCCTTTCACAAGCATCTTAATACCATTCATTAGAGTGGAGCCCTTGTGATTAATTACCTCCCAAAGACCACACTTCTCAATACTGTTACATTGAGGATTAAGTTTCATCATGAATATTGGTGGAGACCCCACCATTCAAACCATAGCAGGCTGGAATAAGCCATCCCTCTAAGATGGGATACTGGCCAAGAAAATTTCCAGGACACATTCTGGGGACCTCCAAGTGCCCTTGAGGAATGATACATGATCATTTTTACTTGTTTTATAGAGAAGCACTGGGGAGGGGCAGCATACACATACACACACACACTTCCTAGGCATTTGGTATTATGCAGTTCTGGAGAGTACAGGAGACTTTAGTCTCAACTCCACCTGTAAATTATTATGTTCTATCAGTTAGGACTTCTAGCCTGGTTTCCAGATTCCCTCGTTGGCTGAGTGAGGCTAATGAATGCCTTCTCTCCTCACTGGATTTCTGTGAACAGGAAACAAGATACCAGGTGTGAAAACTCTTTGAAAAGTATAAACTGCCTCTCAAATGCAAGAAATTATTTATAATGAAGAGTTTGTAAAACTCTACATATGTGTATTTGCTTTACTTAACAGTAAGTAATATGCATTACAGTTTGCCTGGAAATTGCTATATTATTTAGCTTAACGTGATTTCTGTAAAAAGAATGCCTTATTTAGCTTAACATGACTTCTGTAACAAGAATGCATTTTAAAGCAAAACAAATTCTAGCAAGAATGACAGTCTATTAAATTATGCATTTACATTGACAAGTCAATGTTAGTTTATCTAACAAAACATTTTCCAAATTAGAAACAAAAATTTTCCCCTTATGAGCTACTGTGAACATAATGCATGCAATTATGAAGGTACGTTGTTTAATAAGTTTAGCATAATTCTTGAATTCTAGGACTTTTTGTTAAACTCATTTCACCATATCAAATTATTGTGGTTGGATGAAAATACAAAAATGTTACATTTCTAAACCTCAGTGATTGTAATGACTTTTTATGATTTTTTTTTATCAAGTATAATAATAGCAACAAATTCCAGAGCTGGCTTTTTTCAAATACAAATTAGTCATAGGGAAAAAAGGTCTGAAACAGAATCAGGCAGACATGTATTTGAATTTGGACTTTTTGGTTTAACTAGCTTTATGAGCATCCACAAGTCACTCACTTTCCTGCTTACCTCAGTTTCCTCACCTGCAAAATGGAGATAATAATAGCACTTATCTTGTTGCTGTGAGAATTTAATGATATGACTCATGGAAAGTGATTAGTTCACATTATACAGTTGCAATAAATGGCATCTGCTGCCATTGTTATCATTGTCATCATCATTTTCATTTCCGTAGAGTGAGGGAATGGGAGCCTCATTCTCCCATGGGAAAAGTGTTCTCATTGGAATAGACATAATTCCTTTTGGCAGAAATGAAGGACTCAGGTCATGTGGTGTGCATTCCATGTGGAAATAAATTGACAAGCAGAGTGATTTGTCTGTATGATAACCTGCTTGCTGCCTCCGCAGCACTATAGTTTCTTTGAACAATTTTTAATTTCTCACAAAGACATAGAAGCCTCTATTTTACAAAGAGAAGGTGTTCCTTGTAAGATAACAGGCTGTCAGATACTCCCACTCGTACCCCCTACTGAAGATTTGCATTTTAAAAGTTAGGACAATTTCCATTCCTTTGTTGATCTAAGTTTTTATAGGCCAAGTGTTATTTTTTCCTTGCAGAACATATACCTTTCTGTAAATAATCATCTGATTTTGCCTTCATTCTATTAAAGTAGAAAAAAACATTTTCTTGCTTTTTTTTTTTTTTTTTTAAAGACAGAGTCTTGCTCTGTTGTCCAGGCTGGAGTGCAGTAGAGTGATCACAGCTCACTGTAGCCTCAACCTCTCTGGCTCAAGTGCTCCTCTCACCTCAGCCCCCTCAAGTAGTTGAGACTACAGGCACATGCCACCATGTCTAGCTAATTAAAACAACTTTTTTTTTTTTTTTGATAGAGATGGAGTCTACCTATATTGTCCAGGCTGGTCTTGAACCCTTGGGCTCAACTGATCCTCTCACCGTGGCCACTCCAAGTGGAGATTACAGGCATGAGCCACTATGCCTGGCCTAAAAATTGTTTTAAAATCTTACATTTCTTTAATAGAATATAGTTTTGTGTAAAGACATTTAGCTACTACTATGGATCTGTGCCTTTTAGTTAATAAAGACATTAAAATAACAACAGCAATAACAACAGCTAATGACTTTTATTTCTATGTGCTAAGCACTGTTCCAAGAATTTTAATGGACTGTCATATTTCATCTCCATAACAATCCCATGCAGAAAATATTATCCCAATTTTACAGATGATGAAATGGGCAAGAGAAGGCTAAGTAATCTTCACAGTGTCATATAGCTAATGAGTAATGGAGTCAGGACCTAGACAGTGGTGCCAAGAATCTTTGTTTCATGATTAAAATAGTCACATTCTTTTTTTCAAGAGTAATTAGGGTTTAATATGAATTTTTAAAATAACTAGATGTGTATTTATTTCTTATATTCAAATATGAACCTCTGATTGACCATGCATAAACACATTTGTATGTAGCCAGAAACTTGGCAGATTTCTTTTAATTTATAATCCCCATTTTTTCCTCCCCATATATTTAGTTGCTATGCAAGATTAGTCCAAAATACCTTTAACAACTTGGAGTCTCCCATTCTCCCATTTATAGGAAATGGCAATCCACAAAACGATACACAGCAACATGTGGTCTATTTAGTGAAAACTTCCTTTTAATGTTCCTAATGTTGTATATGCATATCTTGTGTCCAGGGTTTCCAATCACAGCTCTGCTACTTACCAGCTGTGTGACCACAGGCACATTATGTAACCTCCCTTAGTTTTGGGATCCTTGTATGTAAAATTCAGATAATAAAATAAATATCTCATAAATGAGTTGTGATAAAGCTATGAGAATCTATTTAAAGCCCCTAGCAAATTAATTTCCAGCTCTTTCTATCCCCAAAAGAAGAAAGTACACCAACACTTCTAGGAGCCTCTTCTCAAAGTCATAGTTATTCCAAAATAGCAAATAATAGGAATGCATAAAGGGAAAGATCATGTCAGCAAAACCTTTTTAAAAATCCCTTATTTTTAAATGGTTAAAAATAATTTTTTAAAAAACAGAATTTTCTATTAAAATAAGCTGTGGCCTTGCCTAAGACAGCCATCCTAGTAAAATTGTCTTCTTTTCTATTTATAGACGCATCCCACTCAAACTGCATTCTTATCCAGCGTTGATCTTCACACTCACTGTTCCTATCAACTCATGTTACCAGAGGCCGTTGCCATTGTTTGCTCACCAAAGCATAAAGAGTAAGTGTGACTCTTCAGGGGAGCCCAAAGAAGGCTTTGTCTAGGGCTGCTGGGTTCCTGTGTGTCCAGACACCAGGTTGTGGTACTTGGATTGGCAAGCACACAACACCCTCGGGAAAAAGAGATAGGTGGCAGTCAGCTGCCATCGACCTGTAGCTCTGCAGTTTCAGGTCCATTCTGTGGCAGAATTACTGATTTTCTTTCTTCTGTTAGCGTGACCTTGAAGTGAATAACATTTAAGAAGGATGCTATCCCAGTTAGCCTTTTTAGGACTTATTTCTGCTGTATTATATTCTACCATAAGAAATGTTCTAGTCTTAGCTGAGAAAAAAACCTTTCTAGCTTTGGGGACACTGATTATTGTAGAGTAGTTATGAGCATGGGAATCAAACAAACATATGGAAATCATGGCTTCACCCCTCAAGTGTTGTGTTAGGCAGGATACTTGACCACTGAAGGCCTCTGCCTCTTCATCCCTGATACCTGCCCATCAGGGATGGATGTAAAGATGAAATTAGATAATAGCCTATGTACAGTGCTTAGCATAGTGCCTGGTACCACAGCAGGCACTCAATACATATTTGCTATTGCTATAATCTGTATTAACATTATTAGAAGAATTCAAAATATCTGCCACTTGTAATTTCCTCTTGTGGGACTCTCTGGTGGGGCCTTGGCCTTTCCCGTGGGGTCACACACAATAGCTTATTTGCCTTGTCCCCTTAACGATCCTGCAGGCTCTTAGCAGCAGCATTGCCTCCTCCTGGGTTTCTCTCCTCTGGGCCAGTCATTGGTTTAAAAAAAAAAAAAAAAAAAACTCACTATGGAATTCCTAGTTTGTGAGTTCTCAATCCCATTTGAAGAATATGTATGTGTGTGCTGTTCAAATAAATCATCTGGAATGCCCAAATGATCCTTAATTTTTCTACCTGTTTTCACTCTGAAATTTAGCACTGGCATCTTCAGGCTCACGAATGCTGGCATGCTTGAGGTTTCTGCTTGTAAAAAAAAGGGCTTTCATCCACACACCAAGGAGCCCAGGCTGTTCAGTGTGAGTACATCATATTAGTTATTTTTCCAGGTATTTCTTATTCACTGCCCCCCCCCAACCTGTTTTTAAATAAATAGTAGCAGTCTAATATAAGTCTAATATAAGATAAAATACTGTACTGCTTAGTTTGGAGTTTTATCTCAGAAAATTAATCTATCTATATACTTAATTTCTGATTTATTCTCAAAATAATTGTATTTACAAGGAAACATCAATATTTCTATAGCAGAATTAATGGTGCACAAAGTTACCTTTCCACTTATATATATGTATGATATTTAAAAGTTTTCTTCAGAGTCCAAATAGGTAACCAATTTTCATAGAAAATGGCATTTAAAATGTCGCATGAGTTCTTTCTGCTTGATATGGCCAAATTAGTTTTTTCATAGCAATTGTATGAAAACTACGATCATACTTCTTGATTACTTTTGCATAGTCCAAAAGAAACATTTGACTACGCCTTTTTTTTTTTTCCTAATTTTTTGGCGGTTCTGTGGCTGTAACATCAGAGAATATTATATTGAAATTCGAATTTACTTAAAATGAAAATTATTTGGCAACCCCTGTAAATATTTTTGTTTTTGTTGAAATTAATAAATGTGATTGTATTTGTTCTGATTGGAAATATTTTAAAAATCAGGAACAATTTAAAATTAGGACATCTATACTCCCTCCCTAAAGAAAATCATATGGTAAACATTATGCTAAAATCAAACATATAGTAAAACCAATTTTTTCTTTCCTAGATATGCAAACATGTGTTGGTAAAAGACATAAAAATAATTGTGTTGGATCTGAGGTGATATGTTCTGAATGTAAGCACCGTCAACATCAGACACCTACTCACGGACATGTGGTTGCCGGATTTTCTTAAGATGTTTCCAGAAATGACTGATATTTTATATTTATACATTTTAGATCAGAAAGCTTGATATTTATTGCTGTTGCACATTTTGAAGTTTTCTTTTTGGGTTGCTCTGTGTCAAGAGAGGTTACGTGGTGTTAAATCGGTACCTAATAATGTGCCCAAATACTATGACCAGATAATAAATTGTGCTGCAAACAACATGTCTGGTATTTATAGAGGTCTCTGCATACATTTTTAGAGCTTTAGATGATTTGCTGTATTTTTTATTCATGTAAAATGTAATTCCAAATAAGAAATTCTGAGTGTATGTAGTCTCCAAAGCAGACCATCTGTTTCTGAAACCTTCCCCTGAGGTAGGTGAGCAGCTTCCATGTGTAGATGAAATATGGCTGCCATTTATAAAGCTTGTTCTATGTTTTCAGTGTCATGAAATCCCAGGCTCAGAGAGATATCTCTGCAGTGAATCATTGTGTAAGATACAAGAACAACAGGCTTCTACTCAGGGGATCAGGTGTCAGAGGGCCTGAGATAGCAGACAATTCATTAACTTGATTTAGAAGACTAAAAGTAGAGAAGCTTGAGAGAGGAATTTTTTAAAAAGGGCTCAGATAAAAGTACAAAGCCTGTTACTGTGAACATGGACAGAGGTGATAGGAAGAAGAAATGAGACATAAGAAATAACTGGTAATTCTTAGTCGAAAAGAATGAATCAGAAAATAGTTTGGAAAGTTTTGTCATTAAAGGTATCTCTATATAAATTAGTCCCCAGAGAAAGAGAATCAAATAAGTTTGAAACTGAATAGGGTGGCATAAATGTAATGTTTTAGTAAGGTGTGAAATGGCATTTGTGGCTATTACCTAGATAGTACAAGCATTTACCTGGATAAAAAGAGACAGATTAAATAGAAGGAATGAGAAACTTGGGTACTCTGTTAGCAAGCTGAATTGGTGGGAAAAACCTGAGGATGGAAACAATGTGGAGAAATTTTAGCTGCAGATACACAGAGGGCAGAATGGAAGTGATATTGTTGAGTTCTTTGAGAATAGGTCCTTCAGGACACTGAAGACTAGTTCTGCAGGTGACATCTTTATCTTGGAAGACATTGCTCCCAGGCACGTTGGGAAATCCTGGACTGACAACCCTTTCCTTGATCAAGAAACTTGTGATCACTTCTTAATCTCCCTTCTCATCCTTTAGGGCCTTACCTTACTCTAGTCCAGCTTTCTTCTTTTTTCTTTTCAGCGCTTAAGTTTCCTTCTCCAGTCACCTCTTCCTGGATCTCCATGACTTTTCAACAGGGCCAAACTAATCCTATGTATCCTTCTGTCTTCCCACTGTCTTCTGTGCTAGCCTCAGCTATCCCTTCCTTTGCTTTCCTCGTGACATTGTATCTGAGTTGCCTAAACAACTCATGTTTCCATGTACTAGCTTCCACTGCTTAGTTCAATGATTTCCACATTCCAAAGAGTGGTATTTTCTGTACACTGTGCTTGGATGGGTTAACATCTGATATGGTTTGGCTGTGTCCCAACCCAAATCTCATCTTAAATCGTAGTAGGAGGGACCTGGTGGGAGGTAATTGAATCATTGGGGTGGTTACTTCCATGCTGTTCTCATGATAGTGAGAGAGTTCTCAGGATATCTGATGGTTTCATAAGGGGCTTTTTCCCTTTTGCTCAGCACTTCTTCCTGCCATTATGTGAAGAAGGACGTGTTTTGCTTCCCTTTCTGCAATGATGGCAAGTTTCTTGAGGCCTCCCCAGCAATGCAGAACTGTGAGTCAATTAAACCTCTTTCCTTTAGAAATTACTCAGCCTTGGTCAGTTCTTTATAGTAGTATGAGAATGGACTAATACAACATCCCTCCCTGCTTGTCTAATCCTCAATTCTGGTACAATGTCACCTGAATTCTGTTCCTGTTCTCATTTATACAGAATCACCTACTATGGGCAGGTCAATGGCTTGTTTCTGTTTCATGGCATCTTCTAGCTATGGAGAGCTTAGGTCTCAGACTTCAGAAGTAGAACTTGGCTTACCTTGTGCATGGACACTTTAGTCTATGGCCACCACTAGTTAAGAGCAGATTAACTCTGCAAGGCTAGCTCCATAGACACCTCACTTTTTCCTGAGTGGTGCTGTCCTCAGTGTCTTAACACTTAAACACACCATGATATTCTGATATACTTGATCAAAGGAAAATATTATATACTTTATTCAAGTAAAAATAATTGTTGGGACAATGGATAGTTGATAAATGAGTGAGATCCTCTGTATAGAATTAAAAATTATAGTAATACACTAAGAGGATATAAAATGAGAGTTGTCCGATGAAAAAGCTGTGGACATTGAATGGTGCCTAAAGATAGAAAGGACTCAGTTGAGAGCTAAGAACATTTAGCATCTTAGATTTCCAGAAAGACTAGAAAGAGAAGCTATGAGTATGCAAAACCATTATGTCCCTTCTGAATAGCAAGTTAGAAGAGAACCCATTTTTCACTAAGAAAGTATATTGCATTTCATAAATAAGGGAGACATTCTTGGCACTTTTTTTGTAATTTTTTTGTAAGTTTTTTTTTTTTTTTTTTTTTTTAAGTACAAACCAAATTAACCAGGGTCTCACAGAGTGGGACTGTTGGAGGCGGCAAACCAGGGACCTGACTTTGGCTGCCAGAATGAGGCCCTGGGGCTGTGTCTGAAAGAAGAACCAACAGAAATGTGACCACATCACTAAGTAATGAACTGGTCACGAGGCAGATACCATGTTAACCAACCTGGAGATGCCAGTACACACACATGTGCATGAGCATCAGTGTTCATTGGATAAGCTATCTATGGAAGGTCTCTTTCACAACAGGCAAAGAGCACCTTCTCTTTTTTTTGAGACAAGGTCTCACACTGTCACCCAGGCTGGGGTGTAGTGGCACAATCATGGATCACCGCAGCCTTGATCTCCTAGGCTCAAGCTGTCCTCCCATCTCAGCCTCCCGAGTAACTGGGACTATAGGCACTCACCACCACACCTGGCTCTTTTTTTTCTATTTTGTAGAAATGGGGTCTTGCTGTGTTGCTAGGGCAGGAGATCCTTCTTTTGAATATGCATCAGTTCCAAAGCTCCATTTGCCACATCCTAAGGCAAAGATGATTCTTCATTTCTTTTCAGATTTGTGTTTCTGTAGAAAAAAATGAAACAGTTAAGAACTTCCTTTGATTTTTCAATGCTAATTGGTTTGCATACAGTGCCTGACACTGTATATGTATTCGTTATAGGCTGAATTGTGTCCCCCAAATTCATGTGTTGAGATCGTTAACCCCCCAGTACCTCAGAATATGACCAAGTTTGAAGATAGGGTCTTTACATAAATAATTAAGTTAAAATGAGGCTAGTAGAGTGGGCACTAATCCAGTATAAGTTGTGTCCTTATAATTAGAGATTAGGACAGACATACACAGAAGGAAGACCATGGGAAAACATAGAAAGAAGACTGCCATCTACAAGCCAAAGAGAGAGATCTCAGAAACCAACCCTGCCAAAACCTAGATCTCAGACTTCCAGCCTCCGGGACTGTGAGAAAATAAATTTCTGTTGTTTAAGCCATCCGGTCTGTGGTATTCTGTTTGGCAGCCCTCACAAACTAATGTGGTACCCGATAAATATTTGCTGAAGTTGTTTATTTCCTTTTTCCTTACAGACTGAAATGGAAATGGCTTTCTTTGTTGTCATGCCGGGCAGAAATCATGCTTTCCATAGACCTTGTCAGTTGTAGAAGAGCAAAGCAGAATGTTTGCAGATTATTTTCAGCTACTCAAATTGTTCCTGGTTTTTTTTTTAGTAGGATTTTACTTGTGGAAATTTGACATTTTATTTGAGGCCACACTGGTTCACTTCTGTTTTCTCCCAATTCATTTCACATTGCAACCACATCAACTGTGCTGGAGACTGTGTTATTACAATGATTTGACCTTAGATTGAGGTTTCTGTTGCAAAACCAGCTGAAGAGGTCCTAAATGTGGAAAGCAGATGTTTCTCTTCTGGCATGTCTTGCAGAATTATCTGGCAAGCGAATATCTTCTGTGAAGAAAATGCTTGAGAAATGTCATGCATTTGGCAATGATTAAGAAAGAAAGGTAGAC